GCCTGTATGACTGTGGCTCATCTCACTGTGCTCTGATCAGTGCCAACCACGTAGGGCGTGGTGGTGGGTGTTTAAAATGAAGCGATCACACCAGCATTGGCTGAGGCATGACACCATCGAAGCACGCACACCTCTTCATCTGATTTTGCCACCAGATTAGAAGAGGTTTTCAACTGTTCTTTGGTCTAGTGGAATAAGTAAGTTGATGCAGTCTGAACTTGCGAATGAAGCAGCAAACAGTGCTGCAGTTCTAACCTCGAATGCACTGAAGGTGGATAATAATAAAATAGACGCACACTGGATTGCGTTTGCCGTCCTGTGACAGCTTACTTCATTGTAGGTTCATAGCTGCTGTCGGGATAGGAAATTAGAAAAGGAGGGAGGAAGAGGGACAATGTAGACCTCACTCGGTGACACATTTCCCTTCCTCCATGGAATGCTAAACTATATAAAGTGACAAATTGAATGACCGAAATCACACGTATTCTAGAAGGATTGCCTTTGTGTAGTCCAGAGATTGTTTATGATGCTGAGAGCCACGCTATGTTGTGGTGACAAGGTCCGTTGTTGACATTTCTGAGGAGGTCACTTAGGAAGACACAAAGTGCAGTAATGGCTGGCGTGTCATAACAATCTCCGTGAGCTGGTGTTGGGTCGTGGATACATGAAAGCAGAAGGGTGTTGGGACGGTGAGTAGACAGATGGCTGCATGAAGGCTTCAATGTGCTCCATTCTGGGCAGTCGCAGAAACGCAAAACCAGTTGCAGTCCACAAGTCGTTGAGGTGAGTGTTGGATAGGCACATCTAGGATTTCATAATTGCCTCCTTTGTAGGTTTATTTAGAGGGTAGGTGATTTGATGTGCTTATCTGTTCATTTCCCATTTCATGTCTCCACCCTCACAAACCGAGTCTCCTCGTTGTACTGCTAAGGCTGCGCACGTTCTCAAACTTTTGTGCATTTGCTCGTAGTCCTCCTTCATGGGCTGTTTTCCGGTGTCCGTCCACTTGATTGCCTCCACACACATCGCACACATACTTTCTCGATGCTCCTCCGATGTCTTCTCCTTCATTTCCTCGTTCTTCATTTTCCTCTTTATGTTGTAGCTGTGGTGGTTTTATGGCTCCACATAATTCCTCCTCCCTGCATTTGTCCACTTACCTCCGCTTCAGTGGTGAATGACATGAGCCGGCTAGAGGCGGTGTGCATAGGCTTACTTCACTTCGCCAATGACGCAGAAAGAG